ATAATAATAATAATAATAAATGCATATGATAATAAGCTTCCGAAGTAAGCTTGGGCACATCAGTAAGAAGTCATAATTTACTAACTGCCTTGTTTACTAGACAGTCGGTATGCCTTTATATATAATCTACACTGTTAATTAAAGATCGTTTGACTTTGGCGTTGTTGTGGCCCTGCAGTAAAACAGATGGCTTTGTTGTCTAAGGGTGTTTTCATAAAAAAGAAAAAAAATATTTTATCAGAATGATGCAGTGACGATTAAAGTCTCATTAAAGCCTGCATTAATTCAGTAGCAGAGAAAGTGTCCGCTTTCAAGCCTTTTATTTCTGTATAAAGTTTTTCTAAACACTTTCTGAATCTAATGCTCATTTAATTCCACATTTGAAACCTGCCATTAAACAGCCTATTCTAGTTTATTTTTAATTTTTATTTTTTATGTGAAACATACATTGCATGAGAGTAAACAACAAGTTTTGGCCAACAGAAATGCCAGTGTTGTTTTTGTTTACTTGTTACAGCTATTAAAAAAACATATGATGATTTTAAAACTAGATGTTTAAAATCAACGTGTAGAACTAACTGTGTGACAACTTGCCCTGGTCTTAGTACATTTATGCAATCATACTGCTGTAAGAGTTTCAAGTTTGCCATAATTATCAAACAACATCATAGATCATCTGAAATGACGTTTCCTCTGAAATATAGAATAGATTTGGTGGTTTGAAAACCATCTGCTGCTGCAAGCTTTGTCATTCTCAATGTTTATGTCACATTACAGGTCATTTATGTTCTGCAGTGCAGCAGTCTCCTGCAATGCACTGATTTAGTGATTTTGTAGGTAACACATTTTTGATAGTTCAGACGTATGAATAACTTTGCAATTACATGTCAACTAGCAGTCATTAGAGTTTAATATGTACAATATATATTTACCGGTTTAAGCATATATATATATTTCTTTTTTGCCAGGCATCTGCTGTGCCTGGTGTTTCTTCACCTTGAGAGCTTTTGTACACTTGAGCTAAGGGCACTGTCATCTTGTTATCTCCCTGTATTTTAAATTCATCATTTAACTGTGTGGCAAATGTTTACATGGAATACAATTCCGCTTAAACTCCTGGCAATGACAATGGTATGGCCCAGCTTAAAAGCTAGTATAATTATATTATGGCTGCATCTGAAATCAAACACTAGGCACTTTTTGAATAAGTAAGAGACTTGTTAAAAATATGCTCTGTATAAAATGAATGCGTGT